CGGACGCGGGGCGGGGCCGGGGGGCCGGGCCGCCCTCCGCCGAGAGCCCCTGGGTGACCGAGTACATGAGGTGCTACTCGGCTCGCGCCTAGGGGGCGCCGCGGCCTCCTGAGAAGTGTCGCCGCGGGAAGGCAGCAGGACGCGACGGGAACGAGGAGACCAGCGTCGGTTTACAGGACCAGGGCGTTTCCACGAGATCGCCCTGTGTTACTGAGTGCCGGTCGCGCTGCTCGGCAGTCGGTCGAAGCCATAGACGTTTGGTCGTTCGTGAAGACGATGCCCTAGGTCTTCGGTGTTCTTCCGAGGGTCTGTTTGAAGCACCCTTCTGTTCTAAGATGTCGTCACCAGATGCCTTTAAGCGGCCGCCGATGCTCGACACTCCGCATCTTTCCACTTGTCCAGGCCCGTGTCGTCCTGTCCTGGGTCATGTCTCAGGTTCCGTAGCGCCGAGGTCATGGCACAGCCCGCAGCACGAGGCTCGTTTTCCTCCTGATGGTTCTGTGAGAGGTTCTCAGGCCCACGGAGAGCGACACGGACACCGAGTGACGCCGACGCCGCCCAGCCCCTGACGGCGAGGCGAGGCCTCGGGTCGTTTCTGAAAAGCTAAACCCACTTGTTCCAGGGCTCGCGATGCTTCGGACACGCCGAGGCTGGACGGGGGCCGTCTCCGCTCCCGGTCGCCCCCAGGCGGCCCCGGTCAGCAGTCAGCGTCCGGCTGTAGCTGGGGGGGTCCCCAACGCACTGTTCACAGGGGCGATCTGTCTTCTGAGTCAGTCGTTTTTTATTGTGAGATGTTTTTAGAACACAAAGCGAGGGGTCGGCCCCGCGCTGCTGGCCCACGTCTGCCCACTGTGGCCTCTGCCTCTTGTGTCTAAGCTGGCAGTGACTTCATAGCTTACCTAAAATTTCGCTTCGTAAAACCGAGATCGTCTTGCTCACAGGTACGAGGGACGAATGTTGCCACGCACGTTTGGGATGTAACCCACCCCGACTTCCTCCGCTGTCTCCCCCCAGAGCTCCCGAGGCCGTGACCTTGGGCGCACCCAGACCTCAGACTGGCGTACGTGGCTGCCCAGCTCGGGCTTATTCAGAACCAGGTGTGAGCGGTGGCTGTGCACAGATGCCGGTGCTCAGACGAGGTGCGCCTCCGGTGACAGGATCTGGGGACAGGATCAACGGCTGAGAAGCGGGCTCCCCCCGGGAGGCGGGAAGGGCGAGCACCGGACTGGAGAGAAGGGGACAGAAGGGGACACTTACCGGCCGCTCCTGGGGGGGGGGCGGACCCACTGTTTGGGGTCAATGTGAGGCTGAGCATTTCCTCGGCGTTTTTACTCTGGGTCTTTGAAGTATCACGGTCAGTTTTTAGAACACGAGCATGTTTTATTCCACATAAAATCTTCACATAACGTCATCTACGACTGTTTGAAGCTTTGAAAACTCAGCGAAGAACTGTGAGCTTTAAAAAAAGACTTTAAATGTTTCGCGTCTCGAGGCGAAACGCTTTAGGAGAGGGCCGTCCTAGTCGGTGGTGTGCATGGTGAGAGGAGGTCCGGTGCGCTGTCCAAAGCAACCTCGGCTGTGCCCCTGGTGACTTTTGCTGGCACTGTTTTTAAAGTCCTTAAACATTGCACATACCTTAAAGGTTAAATTATTGCAGCAGGTGGACGGTGTGGCCGCCTGTGGAAGCTGTCCCTTCAGCCACGCCTGCTGGTCAGCGGGCCACCCAGCTGAACGGCCGCCCTGCACCGGACGACCCGAGGAAGGGGCCTGGGGTTGCTCGGGCCACACGCAGACAGGCGCCTCCGAAACCCGCTCCCTCTGGGCTCCGAACAGGCCCAGCTCCCCTCGAAAACACGTCCCTGAGCACTCCAGACACAGCCCTGGAAAAGCCCGGAAGGCGATCTCGGCCATTGACCCCTTACACAGAGGACAGATGAAGGTGTGTAAAGTGTTTCTGGTGTGCATGAACAATAAATCCGCGTGAACGCGCTGAGTCCCTGTCCTGTGTCCCGTCGTTGGTGGGCGAGGGTTTCTTTCTCTTCAGCGGTGACTGTTACCTTTCGAGCCTATGAAATGAAGTTGAAATGATGCGATGGTCTCGCCCTTCCCTTCTCCCTCTAGAAACTGGATGTTTGTGATCGCGTCGTCATCCATTTTTTTTATGGTGACATTGGTTAACGAAATCCTTAACTAACGATGAGGCATGTATGTATTTACACTGTGCGTTCACCTCCCATAGTGAGATTTCTTCCTGTCACCACATATGCATCCTCGTTCTTGAGACAACTCGCAAGACAGCGAGAGAGTTTAAAACGGCCTTTCGTGCCGCAGAGGTGGAAACGACTTGAGAAGCCAGTGATATTTAGAATAGAGAATAAAGTCGTGGCTACATAAGACTCTCTACGTTTTTGGGTTTTAAGCTCTTAAGACAACGTGTCTTGAATGTGGTTCTGTTGTTTTTATGAAGAGCAGTGACAGAGCATTGAGTGCCATTCGCGCTGCTGGCGTGGTGTGACCAAGAAGTGCGCAGGAATCAATTCTCCCTTTTACACCCCAAAAGACCGCTGCCACTTGGCACCAGCCGGCACCTCCGGTTGTATGTCTCCCGCCCCCGTGAACTTTCTAGGCACATATGAATGTTGTGCTCACCACGTAGCGGGCACATGCTTATGCCACTTCGTATGCATTAGCTTTGTCACCTGCGTGCTAGGTCACGCGAACTCAGCTGACGCACTTGCATTATTTGAGTGACCGGAAATCGTTACATCCCAAACACAAAACTGTGCGGTTTGCAGGTTCACGAAACCTTTGGTGTGTTTTCCTCCCCGTTTAAGTCGATGATGCGGGTCTGGGCACAGGTGGCCTTTCTGCGTGGCATTTCACAGCCCTCGCCGTTTACGATGTTCTAAGGTATCATTGGCAAAGAGGGAGACGGGCGAAGCGGGTCTTAGAAGTAAACGCGTTTCTCGTCAACTGCTTCAGTAAAAAGTCGTGTGGTGGACAATTTTTACATTTCACTGGACTAGATTTAAAAAATGGTGCTGATTTATAAAGCTTGATTCTGTATGGGTTCGGTACCCAACTGCTAACGCCTGACTCATCAAAATGTGAGCTGGAGATTTCAAACCGTTTGCCTTTGAGATGGGTTTCCGGACAGCGGGATGAGCAGGGGCGGGGGGCCGAGTGGGGGCCTCGCTGGCGCTTGTGCTCACGGAGCCGCAGAGGCCTGAGCCGCTCTGGTGGGGGCTGGGG